CACACCGGCACAATGTCGCATCGGCACAGTGTCACACCGGAACAGTGTCACATCGGCACAGTGTCACACTGGCACAGTGTCACATGGAAACAGATCACATGGGCACACTGTCACACCGGCACACTGTCACACCAACACACTGTCACATCGGCACAGTGTCACACCGGCACAGTGTCACACTGGCACAATGTCACATTGGCACGGTGTCACATTAACACAATGTCACATTAACACAGTGTCACACCGGCATAATGTCACACCAACACAATGTCAAAGTAACACAGTGTCACACCAGCATAATGTCACACTGGCACAATGTCACACCAACACAATGTCACATTAACACAGTGTCACACCGGGATAATGTCACACTGGCACAATGTCACACCAACACAATGTCACATTAACACAATGTCACACCAGCATAATGTCACACTGGCACAATGTCACACCAGCACAGTGTCACAGCGGCAGATTGTCACACTGGCGCAGTGTCACACAGGCATAATGTCACACCAGCACAATGTCAGACTGGCACAATGTTACACCAGCACAGTGTCACAGCGGCAGATTGTCACACCAGCCCCAATGTCACCCCGGCACAATGTCACACCAACACAATGTCACACCGGCATAATGTCACACAGACACAATGTCACATCGGCACAGTGTCACACAGGCACACTGTCACACTGTCACAGTGTCACATCGCACATTGTGCTGGTGTGACATTATGCCTGTGTGACACTGCGCCAGTGTGACAATCTGCCGGTGTGACACTGTGCTGGTGTGACATAGTGCTAACGTTACACTGTGCTGGTGTAACATTGTGCCAGTGTGACATTGTGGTAGCTGGCGTTAAGGGTGGGTGGTTGGCGTCAAGGGTGGGTGGTTGGCGTCACGGGTGGATGGTTGGCGTCAAGGGTGGATGGTTGGCGTCAAGGGTGGGTGGTTGGCGTCACCGGTGGGCGGTTGGCGTCAAGGGTGGGTGTCTGGTGTCAGGAGTCACCTGTTAATTTGTAAATTAACTGACATTTGGGAGTGGCGATGACAAATTGATTGTCGAGAATGCTTCACCTGAACAAGATCTTGTATAAGATCGAAAACTGTTTCTCTGTTTTCGCGTCTCTGCTCTGATTAATGTATGCTTGTGTCTGCGTCAACTGTTCCAGTCTCTGTCCAGCTTGACCAGTAACATGGGACAGAGTGCACTCGTGACCCCTCGGCACCCCTCATGACCCCACGAACCGTAAACCCAGTGGAGCATGGCGAGAAGTAATCCGCCACATACCTCAGTCCTGGCGGGGTGTGTTGAGTTGTTCTCTTATTGATAAATCACACAATAGTAAACCCTGTACAGCTCCCACCAACTGTAATTGTCTGTCGTGCCGTGACTGATGACTTTTAACCCTGGGGTGATGATGTGGCATCAAAGGGGTGCTGATCTGGCGTCAAGGGGATGATGGCCTGGCTGTCAAGGGGGTGCTCATCTGGCGTTCAGGGGGTGATGGTCTGGAGTCCCGAGGGTGATGGCCTGGCGTCAAGGGGATGTGTGTCTTACGTCAAGGGAATGTGTGTTTTGCGTCAAGGGGATGTGTGTCTTGCGTCAAGGGAATGTGTATCTTGCGTCAAGGGGATGTGTCTTGCGTCAAGGAGATGTGTGTCTTGCGTCAAGGGGATGCTGGTCTGGTGTAAGAGGTGGTGGTCTGGCGTCAAGGGGATGTGTGTCTGGCGTCAAGGGGATGTGTGTCTTGCGTCAAGGGAATGTGTGTCTCGCGTCAAGGGAATGTGTGTTTTGCGTCAAGGAGATGTGTGTCTTGCGTCAAGGGGATGCTGGTCTGGTGTAAGAGGTGGTGGTCTGGCGTCAAGGGGATGTGTGTCTGGCGTCAAGGGGATGTGTGTCTTGCGTCAAGGGAATGTGTGTCTCGCGTCAAGGGAATGTGTGTTTTGCGTCAAGGAGATGTGTGTCTTGCGTCAAGGGGATGCTGGTCTGGTGTAAGAGGTGGTGGTCTGGCGTCAAGGGGGTGATGGTCTTGCATCAAGAGGGTGATGGTCTTGCGTCAAGGGGATGTGTGTCTCGCGTCAAGGGGATGCTGGTCTGGTGTAAGAGGCGGTGGTCTGGCGTCAAGGGGATGTGTGTCTCGCGTCAAGGGGATGTGTGTCTTGCGTCAAGGGGATGTGTGTCTTGCGTCAAGGGAATGTGTGTCTCGCGTCAAGGGGATGTGTGTCTGGCGTCAAGGGAATGTGTGTCTCGCGTCAAGGGGATGTGTGTCTTGCGTCAAGGAGATGTGTGTCTTGCGTCAAGGGGATGTGTGTCTTGCGTCAAGGAGATGTGTGTCTTGCGTCAAGGGGATGCTGGTCTGGTGTAAGAGGTGGTGGTCTGGCGTCAAGGGGGTGATGGTCTTGCATCAAGAGGGTGATGGTCTTGCGTCAAGGGGATGTGTGTCTTGCGTCAAGGGGATGTGTATATTGCGTCAAGGGGATAATGTTCTGGCGTCAGGGTGTGATGGTCTGGGGCACCATCATTATAATGTGTTAGTTGGAGGTAGAGCTCTGTAAAAACAGACCATGTCATTATAATGTGTTTGTTGGAGGTAGAGCTCTGTAAAGGCAGACCATGTCTTATAATGTGTTAGTTGGAGGTAGAGCGCTGTAAAGGCAGACCATGTCATTATAAAGTTTAAGCTGGAGTAAGAGCTCTGTGAAGGCAGACCATGTCATTATAAAATTTAAATTTGAGGTAGAGCTCTGTAAAGGCGGACCATGTCTTATAATGTGTTAGTTGGAGGTAGAGCTCTGTAAAGGCAGACCATGTCATTATAATGTGTTTGTTGGAGGTATAGCCCTGTAAAGGCAGACCATGTCATTATAATGTGTTAGTTGGAGGTATAGCCCTGTAAAGGCAGACCATGTCATTATAATGTGTTTGTTGGAGGTATAGCCCTGTAAAGGCAGACCATGTCATTATAATGTGTTTGTTGGAGGTATAGCCCTGTAAAGGCAGACCATGTCATTATAATGTTTAAGTTGGAGTAAGAGCTCTGTAAAAGCAGACCATGTAATCATAATGTTTAAGTTGGAGGTATAGCCCTGTAAAGGCAGACCATGTCATTATAATGTTTAAGTTGGAGGTATAGCCCTGTAAAGGCAGACCATGTCATTATAATGTTTAAGTTGGAGGTAGAGCTCTGTAAAGGCAGACCATATCATTATAATGTTTAAGTTGGAGGTAGAGCTCTGTAAAGGCAGACCATGTCATTATAATGTTTAAGTTGGAGTAAGAGCTCTGTGAAGGCAGACCATATCATTATAATGTTTAAGTTGGAGGTAGAGCTCTGGAAAAGCAGACCATGTCATTATAATGTTTAAGTTGGAGGTAGAGCTCTGTAAAGGCAGACCATGTCATTATAAAGTTTAAGTTGGAGGTAGAGCTCTGTAAAGGCAGACCATGTCATTATAATGTGTTAGTTGGAGGTAAAGCTCTGTAAAGGCAGACCATGTCATTATAATGTGTTAGTTGGAGGTAGAGCTCTGTAAAGGCAGACCATGTCATTATAATGTTTAAGTTGGAGGTAGAGCTCTGTAAAGGCAGACCATGTCATTATAATGTTTAAATTGGAGGTAGAGCTCTGTAAAGGCAGACCATGTCATTATAATGTGTTTGTTGGAGGTAGAGCTCTGTAAAGGCAGACCATGTCATTATAATGTGTTTGTTGGAGGTAGAGCTCTGTAAAGGCAGACCATGTCATTATAATGTGTTTGTTGGAGGTAGAGCTCTGTAAAGGCAGACCATGTCATTATAATGTGTTAGTTGGAGGTAGAGCTCTGTAAAGGCAGGCCATGTCATTATTTTTAATTTGGAGTGAGAGCTCTGCCCAGCTAACAATTTCACGTTGTGACAACGTTGTGATAACGTTGTGTTTACGTTGTGATAACGTTGGAGATGTTACGTCCATTTAACGTTATTCTGTGGACTCCCATTTATGTTGTCACAACGTCATGGCCTAACGTTGTGTTACGTCATATTCACGTCGTCACAACGTTGTGATAACGTTGTATTTTACGTTTTTGGAACGTTGTATTTTTACGTTGAGGGAACGTTGTATTTGACGTTGTGGTAATGTTGTATTTTACGTTGTGGCAATGTTATAATAATGAGCCCCCCTACAATATTATTCTGTGTACTACCATGGACGTTGTCATAACGACGTAAAATAACTTTGTGTTACAAGGATGAAATACGTTGTGACAACGTTATCTCATGACCATGCATTCCCCACTGAAATGTTGTAAAAACAACCCCAAAACATGTTCCGGAAATGTTTTAGAATATGCTTTAGTCACGTGAATGTGTATAATTCGAGATACCCTTTACCAATGTTTTAAAACCAGGGCGTCGAATAGCCCAGTTTACAGTTAGATCGTGTTTTGCTTACAATGTTCAAAATGTAAAAACACCACTGAACTGTTAACTAGATACATATGACTACGTCAGACACCATTACCCTTTAGGCTTGTACTGCAGGAAACAAAATAAGAATGGCAGACATGGTAAGGTGTTGACCATTTGATATTCTGGGGAGGGTCGGGGCCTGGAATTTTATCGAAAACATAGATTGTCACCGAAAATTCTTGACAAAAATAATTATGGTTCAGAGTGGTGAAAACAAATGCCTGCCACAAAAATGATATAAATCTAGTTGCAAGGTGCTTATCGTCAGGCAGATAGAGTTAAATTAAAAACATATATCTGCCTTTGTAGCTGTGACCGAAAACATATGTAATCTCCATAGAAAAGTTCCAGGTCCCCACCTCCTTGAATATTAAATGGTCGGTCTCTAAACAAATCTCTATAGTATACTTCAGCTTTCAGTCATGCGACGTCACCATTGAACAAATAACTCCAAGACACAGTTGTGTTGACATTTTAATATTTTTAGATAATTGAAAATTTATACACTTTTCCAAATTATTGAATGACAGAATCTTCTTTCTTTAGGGTTCACTTCCACTTCCCTGAAATACAAATAGCTTAATAAATCTCGAGCAGGTATGTGAAAGATACTATATGACGAGAAACATTCATTTGGAAATAAGGCTTTATCAATATTCAAACAATAATGTATAATGCAAGTGTCTGATGGAAACAAATTTTAACATTCATTCAGAGACATCAACAATCAGGTTGAATACAAAACGTGGTACGGGCATAGATTTATATAAATAGATCTACATTCTTAGCATTCATTTAAAGCACACACAAAAACACCAATTAACATTGATATAGACAATGGAATGCAACTGTAAACAATTGTACTTACGTTAACATAATTCACAGCCCAGGGTTTATTTGGTGTATTCCTCAATGATTCAACATTCTTCATGATATCTTATGGAATGGTCGTGTAACATTTTCCCCCTTGCTGGAACGAAAACATAAAAAAAAAGTCAAAACTAGAACTATATTCAATAAGCATACATTTATAGATCTATAGTCTATCCAAAAAGAGGCCTACCTTTAGAATACAGTACCACAAACTTTTCAAACACGTGATCATATCCTATGACGTAATTTGTAGTATTTTGTTGCCAGTCACACCGGCGAAACAATGCCCTGTGACGTCAGGGGTCATCGAGTGTACATAAGCTCTTCCCAGTGATCTATCATCTCTACACGAAATGTCATTGAATACGCCAAGCGCTGTGGAGAGTTTTGAATATTTGTTTACTGAATACAGCCTGCGGCGGCGTATTTTATAGCACTTTTATTTGATATATATTTTTTATTTCGTTTTTCTCGTAATTCAAGTGGCTAAAAGGGTTATGAATAGAGAATCTCACCCGAGTGTCTTTTGATATCGACAAGCCTCGGAATTTTTTCCACTTTTATCAACTCGTGTTGATATATTTGATATAAAAAGACACGAGGGTGAGATTTTATTTATCATCCAACATCATTCTTCCAACTTTTTCAATTTGTAGACAGTAATTAGCAGTGACTTCAGTGTAAAAAGTACTGACAGCTTCAGTAGCAGAGCCATTAGTAATGTCATTTGATTGTGACGTCATGGTAACCTGTAACGTCACAATGGTCTGCAAAGCATTGTGATGTAATTTCATTGCAGCGATATCTACAGTGCAGATATCGCTTGATCTAATCCAAGCGATATCTCCTATGTCGGAGCCAGCTTTGGATGATAAATGGGAACTAATATACATGTATGATTTTTTCGGTGCATTAATTTTCATCATTATGCAAAAGAATGTAGTTTATTAGGGATATTATATTGGTGCTGAACACATCAAAATGTCGCCAGTGTTAGGGTAGGTTACCCCGAACTCTATCCTTAGCCCTTGCATCCCCTTTACGATCATTAGGGTTAGGAACCCGTTTAGTGGCTATTAGATTACCTGAAGTCTATCCTTAACCCTTGGATCCCCTTTACGATCAATCACCCCTTCACGATCAGAGTAGATCCGGGTGCATTTATAATCCGGGGTATAGATTATATAGCGGCTCCTAATATTCTTCCCACAAAAACGTCGAGTAAAAAGGATGAAATGGTTTGTGTCGAATATTTTGGCTACTGGAAACTGTCCTGGATTATTCACACAAGCCACTTTCACCGGGTACATCTTTCAGTACTGATTCAAAAGCGAACTCACCGTTGTGTCGTCACTAGTCATGCTTATTCCTCCATCGTTCCTTACTATTATCCACATCATCCTTACAGTGTTCCCTACCACACTTTTCTGTCACAAAAATCACCCGACGAATTATTAAATACCACATCATTCATGCACACTCGCGAGTTCGACGTCTGACGTCTGACGCCTGGAGCAGTTTTCAGTTCGCGGCATATCGGCTCATTCCTCACCACCCGGTATCTTGTAGATTACGGAATGGGACGAGTGTGCCAAATGGCATCGGGATCATTCGTTAGTGTCCGTAGACTAAAGTCACGAGACACCATGCCTACCCGTAACTTTCGTAAGTGTCCGTCACCTATTCGACCCTTGTCGTTCAGTTCCGTAACGTCATAGGCATGACTATGTAAATTTGCACTAAGTTTAACAGTGTGGACGTAGCTCAGTCGGTGAGCTGTCAGGCGGATTCTCACTAAAACTGGTTGCTTGTCTTGAGACATGTGACCTACGGTAGAGATCGTCCTCACGAGAAGTTGTGGTACTGTATTCTAAAGGTGCTACATAACATATATTGTATAATTGTCTAAAATTTAGGAAAAACTGTAAATCTAAAGTCCCAATGTATAACGTCCCATCGGAAATATCTCAGGCTACAGATATAAGTAACAAAATAATGAATACCATCTTAAAAAAAACACCTAATGTAATTTGGTTTCCATATACACCGGTCTGACAAACCGGTCAGGCAAACCAGTGATTGTTATAGTGAGCCACGTCTCATAACCTCTGTCAGAGTACAATGACACACAATCATGTTAGAACAAACATGGTTTATTGGGGACCTTTTCTAAACTGGAATCCAAACGTGAACAGATATATTAAACAGGCATTGTAGCTAATTACGACTCACATCTTTATCGCAGCGCTGTTTATATAGATCATATGAAATTTAATGTACATAATACAGTTCAATACCGTTAATATAATTCTGTAGTATGGAAGCCTATATGGCAACATATGGAGATCTAAAACCGAACGAATATAGTTGCTATCAATTTCATTGTATTTTTCATTGGTGCACATTGGCTACACCTATCTCACCTTCATAATCAACAAACGAAGACTAACTCACTGACAATAAATGGTGATATTAAACTTTTGACTATCGACTAGCTTATCATCACCAGCGAGGACAATACCGCAATCACACCGTTATAGTGCGCGACGAGAGACTCGTTTCACCTTAGCTCGTTTTCATTAGAAGGGAATCGGTGTAGATCTAGTTATAGGAAAATGATGAATTGATTCTTTTTTTGGAAATATTAAAAATACACATGATAAGCGCCTTGCTACAATAAAACTTTATAGACAACACCAACAACCAGATGATCCACATTTAGGCTGCTTCAGTCAGTGCTAACTAGGCCGATTCGGAAACAACAACTACAAGCATGTTTCTGTCTCTTCCCGAAAATACAATTTTTCATAACATCATTGAGCGCTTTAGACTAGGGCTATATATAACTAGCAGCCTACAGTTAGTCGATTGTTTTGATACCCTCTCTTTGCTGTATAAGAGAAATCTACTCAACCTTTCCCATGGCCTAAATGAGCCACATTGTTTCACAAAAATCAAAGTCAGTAGATTGTTACATGTACAGAAAACTTTAAATAGTAATGATTTCAGAAATAACACGGAAGAAATGGCGATAACTGTCAGTGGTCAGTAGGCGATGCATATGTTAGGCCTATGTACAGACCTATACGCTTATGATCGAAACCCGAAAATAATATAACGGCCACAATACGCCACCAGATTTAATTCTGGTCAAACATATACTGCTTGCCCTTGGTAATTACCCTCGTATCCATTAACTAATAATATGGAAAAAAGTCTTGGGCCTCCTTCACCTCTATATGCATCGTGTTATGTTTATAATATTAATATCAACACTGACGCTCAGTGAAAGTGACCGGCAAACTGCATTCTAAACCCCGCCACTTCTGAATAACACGATACATTTAAATCATTTGACTATCTGCATGTACAGAAACATATCAACAAGCGGAGACTGCTTCTAGTTGCTGCACAATCAATTGGTTGTAATATGTCCAGAGTGAGCTTGAACTAAGATGGCTGGTGACAACAAATCTTCCGCGGTAATGTGACGTCATTCTGACGTCACTTCACGAGGCAACATGCTAAACTTTTCAGCAGTCGCTCTCACGCCGCAAGAAATGCGCGTCAATTGATTTTAACTGTAATATTGCTTGTGACAACATTTAGTAGACAGATTACTTCGTGGCTAGATATATATGTTTAAAAAAATAAATCTAAGAGATGGTAGATCTACAAGTGGTTTCCTAAACATCATTTACAAAACGTGTTGTAATGTCTAAAGCACAACGTTATCATAACGTTAATTTGCAACGTTGTTGTTACGTTGTGGAATAACGTTACAATGTAACGTAATACTAACGTTGTCAAAGAGATACGCAATTATATTCTGGAACTTTAAGTATTAGGACATCAAAATTCAAATGCCGAATATATAGAAAGGTAATGCATTACTGCCTTGGTATTCTGACAAATTCATGTTGATTTTGATAATGCAGTTCTATTCCTTTATGACTGTCAAGAAGCAAACTCTATGACGTTTCACCGACGTTTCAGAAACGTAGTTACAAAACGTTGTGTGATGTCCGCTTGACAAGGTTTTCACAACGTGAATGTGCAACGTTGTTATAACGTTGTGAAATAACCTTGCACGTTGACGTTATAATAACGACGTTATATCACGACGTTACCAATCCACAACCTTTCCACAACGTTGTGACAACGTCGTGTGTTAGCTGGGATTACAACTATCCCATGCACAATACAGCTTCATCCACTATTACAACTGTGCCATACACAGTACAGCTTCAACCACTATTACAACTGTCCCATGCACAATACAGCTTCAACCAATATTACAACTGTCCCATACACAGTACAGCTTCAACCACTATTACAACTGTCCCATGCACAATACAGCTTCAACCAATATTACAACTGTCCCATACACAGTACAGCTTCAACCACTATTACAACTGTCCCATGCACAATACAGCTTCAACCAATATTACAACTGTCCCATACACAGTACAGCTTCAACCACTATTACAACTGTCCCATGCACAATACAGCTTCAACCAATATTACAACTGTCCCATACACAGTACAGCTTCCACTACTGTTACAACTATCCCATGCACAATACAGCTTCAACCAATATTACAACTGTCCCATACACAGTACAGCTTCAACCACTATTACAACTGTCCCATACACAGTACAGCTTCAACCACTATTACAACTGTCCCATACACAGTACAGCTTCAACCGCTATTACAACTGTCCCATACACAGTACAGCTTCAACCACTAGTACAACTATCCCATACACAGTACAGCTTCCACTACTGTTACAACTATCCCATACACAATACAGCTTCAACCACTATTACAACTGTCCCATACACAATACAGCTTCAACCACTATTACAACTGTCCCATACACAGTACAGCTTCAACCAATATTACAACTGTCCCATACACAGTACAGCTTCAACCACTATTACAACAGTCCCATACACAGTACAGCTTCAACCACTATTACAACCGTCCCATACACAGTACAGCTTCAACCACTATTACAAATGTCCCATACGCAATACAGCTTCTACCGCTTCTAAAACGTCGTGTGTTAGCTGGGTGTTAAGGCAGACCATGTCATTATAATGTTTAAATTGGAGTAAGAGCTCTGTAAAGGCAGACCATGTCATTATAATGTATAAATTGGAGTAAGAGCCCTGTAAAGGCAGACCATGTCATTATAATGTATAAGTTGGAGGTAGAGCTCTGTAAAGGCAGACCATGTCATTATAATGTATAAATTGGAGTAAGAGCTCTGTAAAGGCAGACCATGTCATTATAATGTTTAAGTTGGAGGTAGAGCTCTGGAAAAGCAGACCATGTCATTATAATGTTTAAGTTGGAGGTAGAGCTCTGTAAAGGCAGACCATGTCATTATAATGTGTTAGTTGGAGGTAGAGCTCTGTAAAGGCAGTCCATGTCATAATAATGCTTAAATTGGAGTAAGAGCTCTGTAAAGGCAGACCATGTCATTATAATCTTTAAATTGGAGTAAGAGCCCTGTAAAGGCAGACCATGTAATCATAATGTTTAAGTTGGAGGTAGAGCTCTATAAAAGCAGAGCATGTCATCATAATGTTTAAATTGGAGGTAGAGCTCTGTAAAGGCAGACGATGTCATTATAATCTTTAAATTGGAGTAAGAGCCCTGTAAAGGCAGACCATGTAATCATAATGTTTAAGTTGGAGGTAGAGCTCTGTAAAGGCAGACCATGTCATTTTAATGCTTAAATTGGAGGTAGAGCTCTGGAAAAGCAGACCATGTAATCATAATGTTTAAGTTGGAGGTAGAGCTCTGGAAAAGCAGACCATGTCATTATAATGTTTAAGTTGGAGGTAGAGCTCTGTAAAGGCAGACCATGTCATTATAATGTTTAAGTTGGAGGTAGAGCTCTGTAAAGGCAGACCATGTCATTATAATGTTTAAGTTGGAGGTAGAGCTCTGTAAAGGCAGACCATGTCATTATAATGTTTAAGTTGGAGGTAGAGCTCTGTAAAGGCAGACCATGTCATTATAATGTTTAAATTGGAGGTAGAGCTCTGTAAAGGCAGACCATGTCATTATAATGTTTAAATTGGAGTAAGAGCTCTGTAAAGGCAGACCATGTCATTATAATGTATAAATTGGAGTAAGAGCTCTGTAAAGGCAGACCATGTCATTATAATGTTTAAGTTGGAGGTAGAGCTCTGTAAAGGCAGACCATGTCATTATAATGTTTAAGTTGGAGGTAGAGCTCTGTAAAGGCAGACCATGTCATTTTAATTTTTAAATTGGAGTAAGAGCTCTGTAAAGGCAGACCATGTCATTATAATGTATAAATTGGAGTAAGAGCCCTGTAAAGGCAGACCATGTCATTATAATGTTTAAATTGGAGTAAGAGCTCTGTAAAGGCAGACCATGTCATTATAATGTTTAAATTGGAGTAAGAGCTCTGTAAAGGCAGACCATGTCATTATAATGTATAAATTGGAGTAAGAGCCCTGTAAAGGCAGACCATGTCATTATAATGTTTAAATTGGAGTAAGAGCTCTGTAAAGGCAGACCATGTCATTATAATGTTTAAATTGGAGTAAGAGCTCTGTAAAGGCAGACCATGTCATTATAATGTTTAAGTTGGAGTAAGAGCCCTGTAAAGGCAGACCATGTAATCATAATGTTTAAGTTGGAGGTAGAGCCCTGTAAAGGCAGACCATGTCATTATAATGTGTTAGTTGGAGGTAGAGCTCTGTGAAGGCAGACCATGTCATTATAATGTTTAAGTTGGAGGTAGAGCTCTGTAAAGGCAGACCATGTCTTTATAATGTGTTAGTTGGAGGTAGACCTCTGTAAAGGCAGACCATGTCATTATAATGTTTAAGTTGGAGGTAGACCTCTGTAAAGACAGACCATGGCATTATAATCTGTTAGTTGGAGGTAGAGTGAGTGAGTGAGTATGGTTTTACGCCGCTTTTAGCAATATTCCAGGAATATCACGGCGGGGGACACCAGAAATGGGCTTCACATATTGTACCCATGTCAGGATTCGAACCCGGGTCTTTGGCGTGACGAGCGAAGTTGGAGGTAGAGCTCTGTAAAGGCAGACCATGTCATTATAATGTGTTAGTTGGAGGTAGAGCCCTGTAAAGGCAGACCATGTCATTATAATGTGTTAGTTGGAGGTAGAGCTCTGTAAAGGCAGGCCATGTCATTATAATGTGTTAGTTGGAGGTAGAGCTCTGTAAAGGCAGACCATATCACTATAATGTGTTAGTTGGAGGTAGAGCTCTGTAAAGGCAGACCATATCACTATAATGTGTTAGTTGGAGGTAGAGCTCTGTAAAGGAAGACCATGTCATTATAATGTATAAATTGGAGTAAGAGCTCTGTGAAGGCAGACCCTGTCATTATAATGTGTTAGTTGGAGGTAGAGCTCTGTAAAGGCAGACCATGTCATTATAATGTGTTAGTTGGAGGTAGAGCTCTGTAAAGGTAGGCCATGTCATTATTTTTAATTTGGAGTGAGAGCTCTGCCCAGCTAACAATTTCACGTTGTGACAACGTTGTGATAACGTTGTGTTTACGTTGTGATAACGTTGGAGATGTTACGTCCATATAACGTTATTCTGTGGACTCCCATTTATGTTGTCACAACGTCATGGCCTAACGTTGTGTTACGTCATATTCACGTGGTCACAACGTTGTGATAACATTGTATTTTACGTTTTTGGAACGTTGTATTTTTACGTTGAGGGAACGTTGTATTTGACGTTGTGGTAATGTTGTATTTTTCGTTGTGGCAATGTTATAATAATGCGCCCCCCTACAATATTATTCTGTGTACTACCATGGACGTTGTCACAACGACGTAAAATAACTTTGTGTTACAAGGATGAAATACGTTGTGACAACGTTATCTCATGACCATGCATTCCCCACTGAAATGTTGTAAAAACAACCCCAAAACATGTTCCGGAAATGTTTTAGAATATGCTTTAGTCACGTGAATGTGTATGATTCGAGATACCCTTTACCAATGTTTTAAAACCAGGGCGTCGAATAGCCCAGTTTACAGTTAGATCGTGTTTTGCTTACAATGTTCAAAATGTAAAAAACACCACTGAGCTGTTAACTAGAGACTTATGATTAAGTCAGACACCATTACCCTGTAGGCTTGTACTGCAGGAAACAAAATAAGAATGGCAGACATGGGAAGGTGTTGACCATTTGATATTCTGGGGAGGGTCGGGGCCTGGAATTTTATCGAAAACATAGATTGTCACCGAAAATTCTTGACAAAAATAATTATGGTTCAGAGTGGTGAAAACAAATGCCTGCCACAAAAATGATATAAATCTAGTTGCAAGGTGCTTATCGTCAGGCAGATAGAGTTAAATTAAAAACATATATCTGCCTTTGTAGCTGTGACCGAAAACATATGTAATCTCCATAGAAAAGTTCCAGGTCCCCACCTCCTTGAATATTAAATGGTCGGTCTCTAAACAAATCTCTATAGTATACTTCAGCTTTCAGTCATGCGACGTCACCATTGAACAAATAACTCCAAGACACAGTTGTGTTGACATTTTAATATTTTTAGATAATTGAAAATTTATACACTTTTCGAAATTATTGAATGACAGAATCTTCTTTCTTTGGCGTTCACTTCCACTTCCCTGAAATACAAATAGCTTAATAAATCTCGAGCAGGTATGTGAAAGATACTATATGACGAGAAACATTCATTTGGAAATAAGGCTTTATCAATATTCAAACAATAATGTATAATGCAAGTGTCTGATGGAAACAAATTTTAACATTCATTCAGAGACATCAATAATCAGGTTGAATACAAAACGTGGTACGGGCATAGATTTATATAAATAGATCTACATTCTTAGCATTCATTTAAAGCACACACAAAAACACCAATTAACATTGATATAGACAATGGAATGCAACTGTAAACAATTGTACTTACGTTAACATAATTCACAGCCCAGGGTTTATTTGGTGTATTCCTCAATGATTCAACATTCTTCATGATATCTTATGGAATGGTCGTGTAACATTTTCCACCTTGCTGGAACGAAAACATAAAAAAAAAGTCAAAACTAGAACTATATTCAATAAGCATACATTTATAGATCTATAGTCTATCCCAAAAGAGGCCTACCTTTAGAATACAGTACCACAAACTTTTCAAACACGTGATCATATCCTATGACGTAATTTGTAGTATTTTGTTGCCAGTCACACCGGCGAAACAATGCCCTGTGACGTCAGGGGTCATCGAGTGTACATAAGCTCTTCCCAGTGATCTATCATCTCTACACGAAATGTCATTGAATACGCCAAGCGCTGTGGAGAGTTTTGAATATTTGTTTACTGAATACAGCCTGCGGCGGCGTATTTTATAGCACTTTTATTTGATATATATTTTTTATTTCGTTTTTCTCGTAATTCAAGTGGCTAAAAGGGTTATGAATAGAGAATCTCACCCGAGTGTCTTTTGATATCGACAAGCCTCGGAATTTTTTCCACTTTTATCAACTCGTGTTGATAAATTTGATATAAAAAGACACGAGGGTGAGATTTTATTTATCATCCAACATCATTCTTCCAACTTTTTCAATTTGTAGACAGTAATTAGCAGTGACTTCAGTGTAAAAAGTACTGACAGCTTCAGTAGCAGAGCCATTAGTAATGTCATTTGATTGTGACGTCATGGTAACCAGTAACGTCACAATGGTCTGCAAAGCATTGTGATGTAATTTCATTGCAGCGATATCTACAGTGTAGATATCGCTTGATCCTTAGCCTTAGTAGATATCTACAGTGTAGATATCGCTTGATCTAATCCAAGCGATATCTCCTATGTCGGAGCCAGCTTTGGATCATAAATGGGAACTAATATACATGTATGATTTTTTCGGTGCATTAATTTTCATCATTATGCAAAAGAATGTAGTTTATTAGGGATATTATATTGGTGCTGAACACATTAAAATGTCGCCAGTGTTAGGGTAGGTTACCCCGAACTCTATCCTTAGCCCTTGGATCCCCTTTACGATCATTAGGGTTAGGAACCCGTTTAGTGGCTATTAGATTACCTGAAGTCCCCTTGGATCCCCTTTACGATCAATCACCCCTTCACGATCAGAGTAGATCCGGGTGCATTTATAATCCGGGGTATAGATTATATAGCGGCTCCTAATATTCTTCCCACAAAAACGTCGAGTAAAAAGGATGAAATGGTTTGTGTCGAATATTTTGGCTACTGGAAACTGTCCTGGATTATTCACACAAGCCACTTTCACCGGGTACATTTTTCAGTACTGATTCAAAAGCGAACTCACCGTTGTGTCGTCACTAGTCATGCTTATTCCTCCATCGTTCCTTACTATTATCCACATCATCCTTACAGTGTTCCCTACCACACTTTTCTGTCACAAAAATCACCCGACGAATTATTAAATACCATATCATTCATGCGCACTCGCGAGTTCGACGTCTGACGTCTGACGCCTGGAGCCGTTTTCAGTTCGCGGCATATCGGCTCATTCCTCACTACCCGGTATCTTGTAGATTACGGAATGGGACGAGTGTGCCAAATGGCATCGGGATCAACTAAAGTCACGAGACACCATGCCTACCCGTAACTTTCGTAAGTGTCCGTCACCTATTCGACCCTTGTCGTTCAGTTCCGTAACGTCATAGGCATGACTATGTAAATTTGCACTAAGTTTAACAGTGTGGACGTAGCTCAGTCGGTGAGCTGTCAGGCGGATTCTCACTAAAACTGGTTGCTTGTCTTGAGACATGTGACCTACGGTAGAGATCGTCCTCACGAGAAGTTGTGGTACTGTATTCTAAAGGTGCTACATAACATATATTGTATAATTGTCTAAAATTTAGGAAAAACTGTAAATCTAAAGTCCCAATGTATAACGTCCCATCGGAAATATCTCAGGCTACAGATATAAGTAACAAAATAATGAATACCATCATAATAAAAACACCTAATGTAATATGGTTTCCAGAAACACCGGTCTGACAAACCGGTCAGGCAAACCAGTGATTGTTATAGTGAGCCACGTCTCATAACCTCTGTCAGAGTACAATGATACACAATCATGTTAGAACAAACATGGTTTATTGGGGACCTTTTCTAAACTGGAATCCAAACGTGAACAGATATATTAAACAGGCATTGTAGCTAATTACGACTCACATCTTTATCGCAGCGCTGTTTATATAGATCATATGAAAGGTATTTGTTACTAGATCTACGTTTATTGAACATAATACAGTTCAATACCGTTAATATAATTCTGTAGTATGGAAGCCTATATGGCAACATATGGAGATCTAAAACCGAACGAATATAGTTGCTATCAATTTCATAGTATTTTTCATTGGTGCACATTGGCTACACCTATCTCACCTTAATAATCAACAAACGATGACTAACTCACTGACAATAAATGGTGATATTAAACTTTTGACTATCGACTAGCTTATCATCACCAGCGAGGACAATACCGCAATCACACCGTTATAGTGCGCGACGAGAGACTCGTTTCACCTTAGCTCGTTTTCATTAGAAGGGAATCGGTGTAGATCTAGTTATAGGAAAATGATGAATTGATTCTTTTTTGGAAATATTAAAAATACACATGATAAGCGCCTTGCTACAATAAAACTTTATAGACAACACCAACAACCAGATGATCCACATTTAGGCTACTTCAGTCAGTGCTAACTAGGCCGATTCGGAAACAACAACTACAAGCATGTTTCTGTCTCTTCCCGAAAATACAATTTTTCATAACATCATTGAGCGCTTCGGACTAGGGCTATATATAACTAGCAGCCTACAGTTAGTCGATTGTTTTGATAACCTCTCTTTGCTGTATAAGAGAAATCTACTCACCCTTTCCCATGGCCTAAATGAGCCGCATTGTTTCACAAAAATCAAAGTTGGTAGATTGTTACATGTACAGAAAACTTTAAATAGTAATGATTTCAGAAATAACACGGAAGAAATGGCGATAACTGTCAGTGGTCAGTAGGCGATGCATACGTTAGGCCTATGTACAGATCTATACGCTTATGATCGAAACCCGAACATAATATAACGGCCACAATACGCCACCAGATTGAATTCTGGTCAAACATATACTGCTTGCCCTTGGTAATTACCCTCGTATCCATTAAATAATAATATGGAAAAAAGTCTTGGGCCTCCTTCACCTCTATATACATCGTGTTCTGTGTATAATATTAATATCAACACTGACGCTCAGTGAAAGTGACCGGCAAACTGCATTCTAAACCCCGCCACTTCTGAATAATACGATACATTTAAATCATTTGACTATCTGCATGTACAGAAACATATCAACAAGCGGAGACTGCTTCTAGTTGATGTACCATCACTTGGTTGTAATATATCCAGAGTGAGCTTGAACTAAGATGGCTGGTGACAACAAATCTTCCGCGATAATGTGACGTCATTCTGACGTCACTTCACGAGGCAACAAGCTAAACTTTTCAGCAGTCGCTCTCACGCCGCAAAAAATGCGCGTCAATTGTTTTTAACTGTAATATTGCTTGTGACAACATTTAGTAGACAGATTACTTCGTGGCTAGATATATATGTTTAAAAAAATAAATCTAAGAGATGGTAGATCTACAAGTGGTTTCCTAGACATCATTTACAAAACGTGTTGTAATGTCTAAAGCACAACGTTATCATAACGTTAATTTGCAACGTTGTTGTTACGTTGTGGAATAACGTTACAATGTAACGTAATACTAACGTTGTCATAGAGATACGCAATTATATTCTGGAACTTTACGTATTAGGACATCAAAATTCAAATGCCGAATATATAGAAAGGTAATGCATTACTGCCTTGGTATTCTGACAAATTCATGTTGATTTTGATAAAGCAGTTCTATTCCTTTATGACTATCAAGAAGCAAACTCTATGACGTTTCACCGACGTTTCAGAAACGTAGTTACAAAACGTTGTGTGATGTCCGCTGGACAAGGTTTTCACAACGTGAATGTGCTACGTTGTTATAACGTTGTGAAAAAACGTTGCACGTTGACGTTATAATAACGTTGTGACAACGTTATATCACGACGTTACCAATCCACAACCTTTCCACAACGTTGTGACAACGTCGTGTGTTAGCTGGGATTACAACTATCCCATGCACAGTACAGCTTCAACCACTATTACAACTGTCCCATACACAGTACAGCTTCAACCACTATTACAACTGTCCCATACACAGTACAGCTTCAACCACTATTACAACTGTCCCATACACAGTACAGCTTCAACCACTATTACAACTGTCCCATACAAAGTATACAGCTTCAACCACTATTACAACTGTCCCATACACAGTACAGCTTCAACCACTATTACAACTGTCCCATACACAGTACAGCTTCAACCACTATTACAACTGTCCCATACACAGTAAAGCTTCAACCACTATTACAACTGTCCCATACACAGTACAGCTTCAACCACTATTACAACTGTCCCATACACAGTACAGCTTCAACCACTATAACATATATCCCATACACAGTAAAGCTTCAACCAATATTACAACTGTCCCATACACAGTACAGCTTCAACCACTATTACAACTGTCCCATACACAGTACAGCTTCAACCACTATTACAACCGTCCCATACACAGTACAGCTTCAACCACTATTACAACTGTCCCATACACAGTACAGCTTCAACCAATATTACAACTGTCCCATGCACAGTACAGCTTCAACCACTATTACAACTGTCCCATACACAGTACAGCTTCAACCACTATTACAACCGTCCCATACACAGTGCAGCTTCAACGGCTATTACAACTGTCCCATACACAGTACAGCTTCAACCACTATTACAAATGTCCCATACGCAATACAGCTTCTACCGCTTCTACAACGTCGTGTGTTAGCTGGGTGTTAAGGCAGACCATGTCATTATAATGTATAAATTGGAGTAAGAGCTCTGTGAAGGCAGACCATGTCATTATAATGTTTAAGTTGGAGGTAGAGCTCTGTAAAGGCAGACCATGTCATTATAATGTGTTAGTTGGAGGTAGAGCTCTGTAAAGGCAGACCATGTCTTTATAATGTGTTAGTTGGAGGTAGAGCTCTGTAAAGGCAGACCATGTCATTATTATGTGCTAGTTTTAGGTAGAGCTTTGAAAAACCAGACCATATCATTATAATGTGTTAGTTGGAGGTAGAGCTCTGTAAAGGCAGACCATGTCATTATAATGTTTAATTTGAAAGGAGAGCTTTGAAAAACCAGACCATGTCATTATAATGTGTAAGATGGAGGTAAAGCTCTGTAAAGGCAGACCATGTCATTATACTGTGTTGGTTGGAGTAAGAGCTCTGTAAACACAGACCATATCATTATAATGTGTTAGTTGGAGTAAGAGCTCTGTAAAAGCAGACCATGTCTTTTAAATGTTTAAGTTGGAGTAAGAGCCCTGTCAACACAGACCGTGTCATTATAATGTTTAATTTGAAAGGAGAGCTTTGAAACACCAGATCATCTTATTATAATGTTTAATTTGGAGTGAGAGCTCTGCAATTTTTGAGTTGAAGACAGAGGGCTGTGAGACCATATCAGCGAAGGGAGCGGTGATGCAATGTGGCTTGTGGCGAATACCTGTTTACTTCAGAGGCGGGAGCAGTGATGCAATGACTCCCGTCACGTGGGGGCACCTGTGTCGGGTCACCGAGACTCCAGTGAAAGCTGAGGCAGTATGAATGAACCATCCCACGCCAGAAGTACAGCTCGTTGTACTGTGAGCTGAGGCATTAGTGGGCGGAGCCTTTGTCATACCATACATGTATCCTTTAATACCCCCCCCCCCCCCCCCCCCCCCTCCTCCCCCCTCACCCTCTCCCCCTCCTCACCTACCTATAACATACAAGGTCAAATGTCAGTTTTCATTGATCAGAGTCAATCGTCCCACGCTGGAGAGTCCCGGCGGACTCTGATGTCCAGTCGACCTAAATACTGCTTTAATTGGAAGGAAAAACTCACATATGTTTCAGATACCTACACACCCAAATATTTGCTCAGCAAACAGGTGAAGGAATGTGCGAACAATCCCGCCATCCGGGCAACTACAAAGCGCCCCCTGGGGCGGCGATGGCTAATCAGTTTGATGAATGGTGGTGAGATATATATTCTGCCCCGGGCGTGGTGACGAGCCAGTCACGTTGTAGGTATGTCCCGTCAGTGATGTACAGCCGAAACTATGTGAAACCATTAATGATCGATCTGGCGGGAAACATTACTTTACCTGAACGTTTTAATAACTCTCAATATTCCATATAAATTGTAATACTTGCGCTGTTGTTCCAACGGCTGTAAGTCCATATCGGGAAATATTGATTTATTACAATTTCCTGGCCAATAAACATGGAGTACTTGTAAGGTTAAAAGAGATGTGAATGTTTGAATCGATACCCACCTTCCTGTGCGTCGTTCAATGTTTGACTCCGTCTCCACCTTCCTCTGTATTGTTCAAATGTCTGACTCCGTCTCCACCTTCCCCAGTATTGTTCAATGTTTGGCTCCGTCTCCACCTTCCCCTGTATTGTTCAATGTTTGACTCGATATCCACCTTCCTGCGCGTCGTTCAATGTTTGACTCCGTCTCCACCTTCCTCTGTATTGTTCAAATGTTTGACTCCGTCTCCACTTTCCCTGTATTGTTCAATGTTCGACTCCGTCTCCACCTTCCTCTCTATTGTTCAATGTTTGACTCGATATCCACTTTCCCCTGTATTGTTCAATGTTTGGCTCCGTCTCCACCTTCCTATGTATTGTTCAATGTTTGACTCTGTCTCCACCTTCCTCTGCGTCGTTCAATGTTTGACTCCGTCTCCACATTCCTCTGTATTGTTCAATGTTTGACTCCGTCTCCACATTCCTCTGTATTGTTCAATGCTTGACTCCGTCTCCACCTTCCTCTGCGTCGTTCAATGTTTGACTCCGTCTCCACATCCCTCTGTATTGTTCAATGTTTGACTCCGTCTCCACATTCCTCTGTATTGTTCAATGTCTGACTCCGTCTCCACCTTCCTCTGTATTGTTCAATGTTTGACTCCGTCTCCACCTTCCTCTGTATTGTTCAATGTTTGACTCGATATCCACCTTCCTCTGCGTCGTTCAATGTTTGACTCCGTCTCCACATTCCTCTGTATTGATCAATGTTTGACTCCGTCTCCACCTTCCTCTGTATTGTTCAATGTTTGACTCCGTCTCCACCTTCCTCTGTATTGTTCAATGTTTGACTCCGTCTCCACCTTCCTCTGTATTGTTCAATGTTTGACTCCGTCACCATCTTCCCCTGTATTGTTCAATGTTTGACTCCGTCTCCACCTTTCCCTCTATTGTTCAATGTTTGACTCCGTCTCCACCTCCCCCTCTATTGTTCAATGTTTGTCTCGATATCCACCTTCCTCTGTATTGTTCAATGTTTGACTCAGTTTCCACCTCCCTCTATTGTTCAATGTTTGATTCCGTCTCCACATTCCTCTCTATTGTTCAATGTTTGACTCGGTCTCTTCCTTCCTCTGTATTGTTTAATGTTTGACTCCGTCTCCACCTTCCTCTGTATTGTTCAATGTTTGACTCCGTCTCCACCTTCCTCTCTATTGTTCAATGTGTTGACTCGATATCCACCTTCCTGTGCGTAGTTCAATGTTTGACTCCGTCTCCACCTTCCTCTGTATTGTTCAATGTTTGACTCCGTCTCCACCTTCCTCTGTATTGTTCAATGTTTGACTCCGTCTCCACCTTCCCCTGTATTCTTCAATGTTTCACTCCGTCTTCACCTTCCTCTGTATTGTTCAATGTTTGACTTGATATCCACCTTCCTCTGCGTCGTTCAATGTTTGACTTCGTCTCCGCATTCCTCTGTATTGTTCAATGTTTGACTCCGTCTCCACCTTCCTCTGTATTGTTCAATGTTTGACTCCGTCTCCACCTTCCTCTGTATTGTTCAATGTTTGACTCCGTCTCCACCTTCCTCTGTATTGTTCAATGTTTGACTCCGTCTTCACCTTCATCTGTATTGTTCAATGTTTGACTCGATATCCACCTTCCTCTGCGTCGTTCAATGTTTGACTCCGTCTCCACATTCCTCTCTATTGATCAATGTTTGACTCCGTCTCCACCTTCCTCTCTATTGTTGAATGTTTGACTCCGTCTCCACCTTCCTCTGTATTGTTCAATGTTTGAATCGATATCCACCTTCCTGTGCGTCGTTCAATGTTTGACTCCGTCTCCACCTTCCTCTCTATTGTTCAATGTTTGACTCCGTCTCCACCTTCCTCTGTATTGTTCAATGTTTGACTCGATATACACCTTCCTGTGCATCGTTCAATGTTTGACTCCGTCTCCACATTCCTCTGTATTGTTCAATGTTTGACTCCGTCTCCACCTCCCTCTGTATTTTTCAATGTTTGACTCCGTCTCAACCTTCCCCTGTATTGTTCAATGTTTGACTCCCTCTCCACCTTCCTCTGTATTCTTCAAATGTTTGACTCCGTCTCCACTTCCCTCTGTATTGTTCAATGTTTGACTCCGTCTTCACCTTCCTCTGTATTGTTCAATGTTTGATTCCGTCTCCACCTTCCTCTGTATTGTTCAATGTTTGACTCCGTCTCCACCTTCCTATGTATTGTTCAATGTTTGACTCCGTCTTCACCTTCCTCTGTATTGTTCAATGTTTGACTTGATATCCACCTTCCTCTGCGTCGTTCAATGTTTGACTTCGTCTCCGCATTCCTCTGTATTGTTCAAGGTTTGACTCCGTCTCCACCTTCCTCTGTATTGTTCAATGTTTGACTCCGTCTCCACCTTCCTCTGTATTGTTCAATGTTTGACTCCGTCTCCACCATCCTCTGTATTGTTCAATGTTTGACTCCGTCTTCACCTTCATCTGTATTGTTCAATGTTTGAATCGATATCCACCTTCCTCTGTGTCGTTCAATGTTTGACTCCGTCTCCACATTCCTCTGTATTGTTCAATGTTTGACTCCGTCTCCACCTTCCTCTGTATTGTTCAATGTTTGACTCCGTCTCCACCTTCCTCTGTATTGTTCAATGTTTGAATCGATATCCACCTTCCTGTGCGTCGTTCAATGTTTGACTACGTCTCCACCTTCCCCTGTATTGTTCAATGTTTGACTCCGTCTCCACCTTCCTCTGTATTGTTCAATGTTTGACTCGATATACACCTTCCTGTGCATCGTTCAATGTTTGACTCCGTCTCCACATTCCTCTGTATTGTTCAATGTTTGACTCCGTCTCCATCTCCCTCTGTATTTTTCAATGTCTGACTCCTTCTCCACCTTCCTCTGTATTGTTCAATGTTTGACTCCGTCTCCACCTTTCCCTCTATTGTTCAATGTTTGACTCCGTCTCCACCTCCCCCTCTATTGTTCAATGTTTGTCTCGATATCCACCTTCCTCTGTATTGTTCAATGTTTGACTCAGTTTCCACCTCCCTCTATTGTTCAATGTTTGATTCCGTCTCCACATTCCTCTCTATTGTTCAATGTTTGACTCAGTCTCTTCCTTCCTCTGTATTGTTTAATGTTTGACTCCGTCTCCACCTTCCTCTGTATTGTTCAATGTTTGACTCCGTCTCCACCTTCCTCTCTATTGTTCAATGTGTTGACTCGATATCCACCTTCCTGTGCGTAGTTCAATGTTTGACTCCGTCTCCACCTTCCTCTGTATTGTTCAATGTTTGACTCCGTCTCCACCTTCCTCTGTATTGTTCAATGTTTGACTCCGTCTCCACCTTCCCCTGTATTGTTCAATGTTTGACTCCGTCTTCACCTTCCTCTGTATTGTTCAATGTTTGACTTGATATCCACCTTCCTCTGCGTCGTTCAATGTTTGACTTCGTCTCCGCATTCCTCTGTATTGTTCAATGTTTGACTCCGTCTCCACCTTCCTCTGTATTGTTCAATGTTTGACTCCGTCTCCACCTTCCTCTGTATTGTTCAATGTTTGACTCCGTCTCCACCTTCCTCTGTATTGTTCAATGTTTGACTCCGTCTTCACCTTCATCTGTATTGTTCAATGTTTGACTCGATTTCCACCTTCCTCTGCGTCGTTCAATGTTTGACTCCGTCTCCACATTCCTCTCTATTGATCAATGTTTGACTCCGTCTCCACCTTCCTCTCTATTGTTCAATGTTTGACTCCGTCTCCACCTTCCTCTGTATTGTTCAATGTTTGAATCGATATCCACCTTCCTGTGCGTCGTTCAATGTTTGACTACGTCTCCACCTTCCTCTCTATTGTTCAATGTTTGACTCCGTCTCCACCTTCCTCTGTATTGTTCAATGTTTGACTCGATATACACCTTCCTGTGCATCGTTCAATGTTTGACTCCGTCTCCACATTCCTCTGTATTGTTCAATGTTTGACTCCGTCTCCACCTCCCTCTGTATTTTTCAATGTTTGACTCCGTCTCAACCTTCCCCTGTATTGTTCAATGTTTGACTCCGTCTCCACCTTCCCCTGTACTGTTCAATGTTTAACTCCCTCTCCACCTCCCTCTGTATTGTTCAAATGTTTGACTCCGTCTCCACCTCCCTCTGTATTGTTCAATGTTTGACTCCGTCTCCACCTTCCTCTGTATTATTCAATGTTTGACTCCGTCTCCACCTTCCCCTGTATTGTTCAATGTTTGACTCCCTCTCCACCTCCCTCTGTATTCTTCAAATGTTTGACTCCGTCTCCACTTCCCTCTGTATTGTTCAATGTTTGACTCCGTCTCCACCTTCCTCTGTATTGTTCAATGTTTGACTCCGTCTCCACCTTCCTCTGTATTGTTCAATGTTTGACTCCGTCTCCACCTTCCCCTGTATTGTTCAATGTTTGACTCCGTCTTCACCTTCCTCTGTATTGTTCAATGTTTGACTTGATATCCACCTTCCTCTGCGTCGTTCAATGTTTGACTTCGTCTCCGCATTCCTCTGTATTGTTCAATGTTTGACTCCGTCTCCACCTTCCTCTGTATTGTTCAATGTTTGACTCCGTCTCCACCTTCCTCTGTATTGTTCAATGTTTGACTCCGTCTCCACCTTCCTCTGTATTGTTCAATGTTTGACTCCGTCTTCACCTTCATCTGTATTGTTCAATGTTTGAATCGATATCCACCTTCCTCTGTGTCGTTCAATGTTTGACTCCGTCTCCACATTCCTCTGTATTGTTCAATGTTTGACTCCGTCTCCACCTTCCTCTGTATTGTTCAATGTTTGACTCCGTCTCCACCTTCCTCTGTATTGTTCAATGTTTGAATCGATATCCACCTTCCTGTGCGTCGTTCAATGTTTGACTACGTCTCCACCTTCCCCTGTATTGTTCAATGTTTGACTCCGTCTCCACCTTCCTCTGTATTGTTCAATGTTTGACTCGATATACACCTTCCTGTGCATCGTTCAATGTTTGACTCCGTCTCCACATTCCTCTGTATTGTTCAATGTTTGACTCCGTCTCCACCTCCCTCTGTATTTTTCAATGTCTGACTCCTTCTCCACCTTCCTCTTTATTGTTCAATGTTTGACTCCGTCTCCACCTTTCCCTCTATTGTTCAATGTTTGACTCCGTCTCCACCTCCCCCTCTATTGTTCAATGTTTGTCTCGATATCCACCTTCCTCTGTATTGTTCAATGTTTGACTCAGTTTCCACCTCCCTCTATTGTTCAATGTTTGATTCCGTCTCCACATTCCTCTCTATTGTTCAATGTTTGACTCGGTCTCTTCCTTCCTCTGTATTGTTTAATGTTTGACTCCGTCTCCACCTTCCTCTGTATTGTTCAATGTTTGACTCCGTCTCCACCTTCCTCTCTATTGTTCAATGTGTTGACTCGATATCCACCTTCCTGTGCGTAGTTCAATGTTTGACTCCGTCTCCACCTTCCCCTGTATTGTTCAATGTTTGACTCAGTCTCCACCTTCCTCTGTATTGTTCAATGTTTGACTCGATATCCACCTTCCTCTGTATTGTTCAATGTTTGACTCCGTCTCTCCCTTCCTCTGTATTGTTCAATGTTTGACTCGATATCCACCTTCCTGTGCGTCGTTCAATGTTTGACTACGTCTCCACCTTCCCCTGTATTGTTCAATGTTTGACTCCGTCTCCACCTTCCTCTGTATTGTTCAATGTTTGACTCGATATCCACCTTCCTGTGCGTCGTTCAATGTTTGACTCCGTCTCCACATTCCACTCACTCACTCACTCACTCACTCATTCACTCACTCACTCACTCACTCACCATTATTCAGATATGTATCCTGACATCCCAATGATGTGACCTGCTCGGTAATCACCCCAGGAAGACCTGGCACTTTGTCAATTGTCTCATCAACGGCCTCAGCCAGCCGTGCTTCCGGTGATTTTCTACATGGCGGAGCAGTTGACATTTCAGTTAATGTTTCCACCGACCCCATCTGTCCCTCTCCCCCTTGCACTCTACTGCTGTGTACAAGATCACCCGCTACGCATTGCATGTACACGTTAGATCACCCGCTACAAGAGCGTTGCATGTTCAA